CGTGCTTCCGTGCTGCCGTGCTCTCAGGGCGCCTTTCCGCGCGCGGTGCTGTGCACCCCGCGGGAGGGACCCGCTGCTCCTGCGGGTGGGGCGCGGAGTGGGGCTGCGGTTAAAGTCAGGTGGTAACGACGCCTGCTGGGCGCAGAGCTTCTTAAAGAGATCGGGTGCTGTTGTGGGATAGTCGGGCGTATTAAATTGAAGTTGGTGCTGCCCCAGCCCCTAGAATTTTAGTTTTCTCGGAACGCACACGTTGCAGCCGCCAAATCCATTTAGCTTTACAGTATTTGATAAAAAAATTAAACAAGATTTGCAACACACTGAAATTCTGGATACTGTCAGCATGAACCTTCATTAGGTGGGATTTCTGCTTCCAGTCAACTCTATTTAAAAGTCCCAAACTGTTCTTCCCTTGATTGATAGGACTGAATACCAGCAGTGTAACATGAGTACCACCCCCAGTGTATGCATGCCCTTTGCACTCTCATTCAGCTGAAGAAATTAGTCAGTATGAAGTTATTCTGGCATCAGCTGTTCTGCCTGTTAAGACAGAACTTCTAGCAATGTGTGAATCAAACTCTGGCATATAGAAGTGCTGCTGCCTGTCACTGTTTGGCAGGGGCATGAAGCAACACATTCTTCCTTCTTGCTGTGACTGTGCTTTTAACAGTAGGACAGCTCTTAGAGGAGTTATCATTCATTTTTGTGTCTATGAACACATGTCTATGGCTACTTTCACATAAACTGGTTGTGAATGAGGGAGTCAGGGTAAGATCTGAGTTTTCAGACGCTTTCTTTCTCTTCACCAATGGAAAGGTAGGGCATAGGTAAAACAAGCAGACTGCTGACGTGGTTCAGTTACGCTCCTAAGCAAGCTGGAAATATCTTCATACAATCATTTGTTCTCTTTTGGTGAGTAGACAGACCACTTTGGTGAATGCATTAAGTGATGCAATGTCATTCATGGTGGCGAAAAGTGAAAAGATCTCTCAAAAGCCTGAGATTTTACATCTCTTTTTCCCTGTTACTTTATGCCAGATCTCTGTACTAGTGGATCACCACATGGTTTAGTTTTGATCTAGATTAGGCACGAATACACAGCTGCACAGGACAAAATGAGGACAAAATGCTGGTTGAACTAAAGGTATTTCATTCGGTGAGGACAAGTAACAATGGTGCATTGGGATAATAACCATCTGTACTAACCTGCAAAAAAGTGGTTTCCATTTTTGAACTAACCTGAGCTGATAATACAGCTGATAATACTGTTTTAACTTACATTGCTTCAGTGTGACAAAAGTGAAGATTATTTTAAAGTGATGTTTTAAAAAGCCATAACTGAAGGGAAACTTCTATCAGGTCCAAGAAATGACTTTTTAAAAGAAAAAAGCCAGTGTTGTAGTGTATTTAAATATAACATGTACATATGATGTCAACATGTATCTATTCCCTCATCTTCAATCAATCAGCAGCACCTGAAATTGCTTTTACCTCCAGGGTTTTTCCCTCTGTGGTCCTATTCCCTGCACATTAAAGTTCTGAAGCAGGCTTTGTTCAACCTTCCTTGGCAAGCAGGAGAGGGAAGGACTCAGTCATTAGTTCCTCAGCTGCTTTTCTTTAGCACCATTTGAGTTATTCAGTCTAACTGCAGTTTTCATGAAGCCTCCCAACACTTGGACGTACAACAGAGCTTCCATCTGTTGAGGTATGAGTGGTGGGCTTGCTGAAAGTTGCTCAGTTTTGTAGATACAGTATTGTAGACTGAATTTTGCCCGGGTCTTGCCAAATAAGGAGCTTGTGTAGTCTCTTAAATGCTAGAGTTAGTCAGGTTGCTGTTTTGGCAAGTCCACAGTGTGCAGTAGAATGTGATGCAAGATCTGCAAGCCAGTACTTGGCCAGGCTTATATCTGCACAGCAGCCCCATAACCTTACTGCCATGTCAGCCCCTGAACCAAAAATGCTGACTGTGTCAGCAGAGCTTTGAACCTTGGTGTGGTTGCACTCTGAAGATACTGGTACTGGACCTGTCTGAGATAAATGGTACTCCTTGTTGAGAGGATGTACTCTCATCCCACCTAAAGGGCAGCGATGAGAAGTTGTAGATGTTTGTCTTTCTGATATGTGTGATAGCATAAATGAATTAGCGGAGAAATTATCAAGATACACTCTGAGTACACAAATAACTCTCAACTCTGTCCATCAGGCTTTTCCTTTTCTTGCTCCCTCAGATTTCATTTGCTAAACCACTAAATGTGCCATCAAGAAAATACAGCCATAATTTTTTCTGTACCTTCTACATTTATTAATGTATTGTCTGCATTAGGGTAGTAATCTATTTGCAGCATGTAGTACTGTTCAGTGTAATGGCACAGAACATTCTGGAGAATTTTAACAGGACAATGAAGCAATGAATCAAATACATAAACTAATATATCTAATAAGGTGCAATCAACATATACTGTTTTCATGTGTTTCCCATAGAAAAAGAAGGCTTTTAAAACCGACTGTCTACTACTATTCTTTCAAGAGAATTTCAAGAAAGAAATAGATGACGTTTTATTATTATGGTAAAGGTGTTTCTGTAGCCCACAGATATTTCTGTCTTATCAAATACAGGATATGACAACAAGTCACATATGCCCATAAAACTGAAGATCTGTAATCATTAACCTCTCCTTTTCTTCAGGGTATTCTAGAGCGCTTGGATGCTGGAGAGATTGTGATTGGAGATGGGGGATTTGTCTTTGCCCTTGAAAAGAGGGGATACGTGAAAGCTGGACCTTGGACTCCCGAAGCAACAGTAGAACACCCAGAAGCAGGTCAGTTTTACCTGTAACGAAAGTAAAAGTTGTTGGAAAAATAATTAGTTTATAAAACTTGCAGCAAGTTTTTAAATGGAAATGTTGCTGTAGAATTAGACACTGTGAAGGACAGCTTAAGATCTGTAGACCTAAAGCTCAACTTACCCCATATTCTTTCTGTAACAGCGGCTAAAAGCAGCTGGTTGGAGAAGAATGAGTAGTACCTCATTATACATGATATAGTCATACCTCTCCAGAATGCTTCTTGTCTTCAATAATTTTTGAACCAGATATGGTATCTTTGTGTTCAGTAATATTCTCTCATGCACTTGTCTTGTCTGTCCTCGAGCCAGTATCAAATTTATCACTGACAGCATCTTGTGACAAAGAGTTCTACAGGTGACTCTCTGTTTTGTTGGGTTTGACCATTCTAGGATTTTTATATTGCTGTAAATCAATACTGTCTGTGTATTTTCTTTTTCATGAAAGTAGTGGCTTTAAATAAACAACCAAATGAGAATGGAGTATTTAATGTGTGTGCCTCCACTGTGAAAAGGGGAATGAGAACCCAACTGTTACAGTGAAATAAAATCATTTTCTCTGCCTGTCCTTTCTAATGGAGTAACTGCCAGCAGTGGAGGGGGACTAAATGAGCAATTACAGTGCCTTACAGCATAAGGATTGTAATGCATAAAGACTAGTTAGCATAAATAGTGCTAAAACAGATTCTGTTAGTCAGTGTGCATTTTGTTTACCTTTTTGTACAACACTTTTAATTCTAATTGTCACACCTGAGAAATAGCGTATATACTACTGAGCGATTCAATCTGGGAAGGGTTTTTTGGTTATGAGCTAACATCAGCTGGCTTAACCCAGACAGTGCTAATTGCCTTGCTGAGATTCTGCTTCATGCTGAATTCTTGTTCTCGGACTGTGCTTTAAAGGATTGGATGTGCCTTCAGTGGAATTTTGCTGTTTACTTTCTTTGACATGTTCTATGTAGAAAAATATTCTCATGGGTGAGTTAGCTGGGCTAAATGAGCACACAGGCCTGCTTTAAGTAACTGCCTAGTGGTCATTGGTTAGAGCTCAGCCATCTAAGCGTTACTGCTGATTTGCTGGTAGCTACCTATAGAACATACTGCTTATGTCTGTAATAGTTACAGCAGTTTAATAAACCTTTTTATAGGCGATTTATGAACATACACTCAACTGGGAATATGTTCATTTCTTGTAGTGTGGTGTGTTGCTTCCCCTCCATTACTGATTTTTGCTCCTGCGTGTTTAAGAGTCATGTTACTTGGAAAGCAGGTGTAAAGAGCACAAGGAGCAACTGGCTGGGCCAGCTGGTACAAAATCCATACAGCTAACAGCCCCCCTCCTCTTTGTAAGGGAAGAGGGAAAAGGGGGGTGGGGGAGGTTCTTAGAATGCAGCAAGGCATGTGCAAAAAAATCCAAAAACAAACAAACAAAAAAAGACAAGTTGAAAGCCATTCACTCTGTTACAAGAAAGAAGTTCTATGAGATTGACAACTGTCCTGAGCCAGACCAGGTATTTGAACTACTGCTCTGCATGGGGCAGTGTACATACGTACTTTCTCCATCTCCTGTTAGCGTAAGTCTGTCTATTGTTAAATATCCAACTTGTGGTGAATTGAAATCATTATGTAGCCCTACTCGTAGCTCTTAACCTCATTTGTCAAATGGTGGAGGAATCCATGGTTTGAGTAATATACTAGCAGTCACATAATGATTTACACGGTGGTTTGGGGTTTTCTGTTCGTGTCGTGCAGGCTGTTGCAGGCTTTAAAATAGTAACAGAATATTGTGGGTATAATAACATCTGCCTGGGATTGAATGAGATTCAGACTGATACTTTACTTATGAGGCCATTTTTTCTCTCCAAATGTGGACAGAGACTCCTGAGTGGGTCTGTGTAAGTAACAGTTTGAAATAAGTTTCTTACTGTTTCGTTTGTTTATCTATATCACTGTCCTTATTCACCCAAAGCCCAAGACTTTTTCCAGGAATGCAGTAATTTTAAATGAAACCAAACTAACACTGTGGGTAAATAAAGCTTGTTTGTTATGGAAGTCAGTGCATTTGTAGAAAATATTTGTAGAATTTTTTCAGTTTTTCCCATTTCCTGGCTAGTTTTCGCCAGTGTTTTCTACTCTTCCTCATGGAAAAATAAAAAACAAAACCAAAAACCACTTTGGACCACTAGAAACATACAGAAACATCTATTTTTTCTGTGATTAACGCTCTACTTTAATGCTATAGAAAGCAGAATTCTCTCAGAAATATTAAAGTTTTGAATTAATGTAGAAGTTGTAAAAACTGAAATCTGATCCTGATAGCTTAGGCAGATTCCAGGGACTTTTTGATCTGTAGCCCTGCAACAATCTGTGTTTCTGAATAGGTCTTTTTGACTGCAGGGTAAACAGGCACTGTATTAAGTCACACCGCAGTTGGCCAAGACTGTTACTGAAAATGAAATACTGCACCAGCAGAGAAAAGCAAGCAACATGACACTATTCCTTCACTGAAAGCAGATGTGTTCGTGTGATTGATACAAGGAACTTCTGTTTGAGCTTCCCTGTTGTAGAATGCTGTATCTGCTGTAGCTGAAGGCAGTAGCTTCATTATGACACAGTCACACACTTTGCTAATGACACAGATTGTCTGTGGGCAAGGAGGTAGGAGAAACCAGGACATCAGGAAAACTTCCCCAAACATTTGCCATAGAAACGTCAGTGTTCTCTTGTTTGTTTACAATATCTAGAGGTTAATTGATTTCTTGTATGCGCTGTAAGCTGTTGAACCTCTTAATGCAGTCATGATCTGGAAGCTGAGAAACTGGCTCTTTCTTTCATGTGATGTTCTTTTTGCTTGTTATTCCTTGTCATTCTTTCACAGGCTTTTGCTGTGGTTTTTTTTTTTTACTTTCCGTTCCTGAACTATGATGCATTTCTGTTATGTGAAACTGGGAGATGTGAAGGAGTGCAGAAAGCAGGAGATAGTTGAAGTGCAAGACAAAACTGGATCTGCTGATAGAAAACTGAATAGAAATCCTCCTTTATTTATAGCAGGGAATAACTACGTTTTCTACCTAATGTTTAAGACTGAGAGGGGGGAAAGAAGAAATTCTGCATATACTACTATTGCTACTTTCTCACAGGCTTTACTAGTAAATACTATATCACTTATGTCAAAGTAACATTACTTCAGTAAGCATTTAATTTTAGGATACCAACAGTAATAACTGTACCAAGCATCTCTTGTCTTTTTTTAGTTCGTCAGCTTCACAGGGAATTCCTCAGGGCTGGATCCAATGTTCTTCAAACATTCACCTTTTATGCCAGTGAGGACAAACTGGAGAACAGAGGCAACTATGTAGCTGAGAAAATAACTGTGAGTAGAATAAAACTTTGATGGAGATATGAAGTAAGTGGATTCAATTTAAATGTTCCTTGGAGTGATTTTTTTGGTTATATTTGAGGAACGAAAATGAGATGATGCAGAGTTTGGAACAATAAGAAGGACATGGTTAAAGGAGAACAAAATTACAAAATGGGACTAGAGGATACCCGCATCTTATTTTTCTTGTCGAAGAGACTAGCTTACTGGAATTTTGATACAAAGAGTATGGGGAAAAATCATTTGCACAGAGAGCAAAATCATTTGGGCATGCAGAGGGGAAGAAATACTTTAACACTCACTGAAACAAATCAACTGCTGAAATGGTGAAGAATTCTAGAAATTAGCAGCCGGTTTAAAAGTATTGAATGTTTTTTCTAAGGTCATTTCTTTAATAAAGTAATAACTAAAAATTCAAGGTTTGCTCTGTGGCCAGTATTCCCATCTTCATGTATGAGGGTAATCTGGAACGGCAACAGAAGTACAATGGTGGTGTTTTCTCACTCTGTGCACTAATGACATGGATGCTGAGTGGCTTTACTAACTGTAGGCCTCAGCTCACCTGGGGCTTTGGTCATAAACATTTCTAGATAGTTCCTTTGAGACCGGAAGATTTGCCAGTGTGTTTTCCCTGATCCCTTCTCCTTTGGTCATGTTGTCTGCTTTAGCCTCTGGAAAATAGATAAGATACTGTTGGGGGAAGAAGATATTGCAGGGCCAGAAACTGGACATTAGTGGAACACTTGTAGCTTAAAATTGGGAGGTCACTTTTACCCTGAAACCGTTGTATGGGTCAGGCTGAGCTATTACAGCATTGTTTTCAAATCACATTGTTTGACATCAGCTCTCATCTATGTGGGCAACCTGTTAAATAAAAGAAACATCTGAGAGCCTAGTTCTTGTACTGCTTTCCTGTTAATAAGAGAATTGGAGCCACTTTCTATGTAAATGATTCTGAGTAGAATTAATCAGAATTTTTCATATTCTAAGGAGGGGAAGGGAGAAACACTGATCATAAGTACTGAGGTACTGTACACAGTTTAGAAGATACTGGTGTGGGAGTGATTCAGAAGATGCTGGTTCTTTTTAATTAAGTGTAGTCAGAACAAACATTTTAATGAGTACTTTCTCATTTTTCTTATATCCATTTAGAATATGGCCACATTTACCCTACATTTTTATTAAATCATTCAGACCAGCCAACTGAGTGCATGCATATCACGGGTGTTTCTATGTATTCATTCATATGCTATCAATAATGCTTTATTGCTGCTTGTGGCGTTGCAGTTCGGAAATGTTCCTGTCACTACAGCTGAAATCCCAACTCAAGGGCATTTAAAAAAAAAACAACCACATTCTCTCTATTCCCCAGAAGCTGTTCAATGTGTGAAACATCAGTCATAATGTTGTATGACCAAATTTACTTTGAATGTAAAGGTACTGCATTCCACAAATGCAACGTTTAAAATCTATTCTAGAAGCACAGTGCCTGTGGAACAAGCCATGCTGCAGCACCTGCTGCCATGCAAAATGATAGGAGGGAAGAGCACCAGTGCAGCAAATGCTTTGCAGCAAAGTTTTTAAGACTCACTGCTTATTCTAGAATCAGGTTCTCTGGGCTTGGCTTAGTGTGTGGCTCCAGATCCTGGAATTACTAAATGTGAGTGCCAGTGCAAATGGAAGTCACTTTGTCAGGAACAATGTTAAAAAACAACTTGATCTTCTGGGGCATCCATGAAACACTTCAGCTGTGAGAAGACTGAAGTTTCTGAATAAACCATGAGCCAGAAACAGACCTGCTCTAACCAGTGCTTGCTATCTATCCTGAATGCTTCCTTTCCAAAAATCTTCTTCCTCAACTTAGTGTCTTTTTCACAAGCTGTTCTGGACACCTCTGAGTACAATCAGAATGTCTTCAGTCTAGGTAATTAATTATATACAGTGCTAAGTTTCGCCTTAATGTTCTTAAATTGGCCATGCTAATATGTGATAATGAATTATATCTTTTTTTTTAAAGATAAAGTCATAAATAGATCTATATAAACATATTATATTTTGATGAATTTCAAAATACTAAGATAAATTAAAAATAGAATGAAAAATCAGCTGAGATAACTATGTAATTTTCTTCCACCCACAAAAATGTACACTTAAATTCTTATCATTTTCTGAAAGAATGAAGATAATTGTACTAAATATCAAATATTTATTTGCTTTTTATAGCTTTAATTGTTTAAACTGTGTTAAAAATAGTATGCTTTTTATTAGTATTTGATAGTATGATGTAATAGCTTAGAGGTGACAAGAAATTTGTTTCCTAACATTTGTTACTTTTTTGAAAGTTTGTCGATCTTTCTGATCAATGTCATTTAAAAACACATTTAAATTATAAATGAATATGAAGAAATTACTATGGATTTTGACTTGTATCTGTTTTGTGCTCTAAAGCTTCATGCTTATCTCTGATGGGGTAAAACTAACGTAATCTGTATTCATGCAGTGCCAGAAAGTGAATGAAGCTGCTTGTGACATTGCCAGAGAAGTGGCCAGTGAAGGCGATGCTGTAGTAGCTGGAGGAGTTAGTCAGACACCATCATACTTAAGCTGCAAGGACAAAACAGAGGTTAAAGCAGTCTTTCGAAAGCAGCTTGATATCTTCATGCAGAAGAATGTGGACTTCCTCATTGCAGAGGTACATTTGTAGTTAAAAATAAATGCATTCAACAGATATTATTTTTTAATGGTATGGTCAGTGAACTCAACAGAGCTTTGTTAGAGTATGTTATTGTGTTGCTTATGAATTTGGCATCTGAATTAATGTTTATGCTTCATCTCCGATAAATGAAACTAGTTCTGTTTTAATAACTTGCAGTATTTTGAACATGTTGAAGAAGCTGTCTGGGCAGTTGAAGTCCTAAAAGAGTCTGGCAAGCCAGTTGCAGCTACAATGTGCATTGGTCCAGAAGGAGACATGCATGGTGTGCCTCCTGGACAGTGTGCTGTCCAACTGGTGAAGGCTGGTAAGAAACTGTTTTAAACTGCTTTTAAAAGTATGGGACAAAACACATTTCTTAGGCATTCAGATACAGATTCAGAAGGGGTATGTGAAGGAGATGATAACTTCCTGATTATGTCTTTAAAAAGAACTTTTGTTTAGTTTTCTGTAGGAAGTCTTGTAGCAAGAAAACGCAGAATACTGCAGCTAAGAAATCATATTAACCAAGATTGGGAATGGTAGTCACAGGTAGCTAATGCTGAGTAGAGGAAAATTCTAAACAAATTCCTTTTTGGTTACAGAGACAGCCCTAAATCCCAGGCTCAAAATTATGAAACATAAGCAACATTTGATTCTGTGTTTTAAAAACTTTCTGGAGTATGGTTCAAATCCAGGATGAGAAACAGTGAGGGGAAAAAAAAAAAAATTGTCTTTTTGTCTAACAAAAGCTTTATTTTCTGCAGGACAAGTAGAATCATAGAATGGTTTGGCTTGGAAGGACAGAAGGAATAGTGGCATAACGGATGATACAAGGGCTTCGTTATATCTGTCCTGAACTGCTCTTTTCCTTTGGAGTTAGAGTTAAAATTCCAAGGCAGAACCTGCATTAGAAAGCTGTTAGATAATTGCCTATGTGACGGTGGATGCTTTTCATCTTGGTACTTCATCTGGAAGGTTAAGAGGAGAGCAGCTGAAATGCAGATAGTATGATCTGCCACATGAGAGCTGAGACTGACTCCAGCTCAGTTGCCTTTTCATAGGGCTGGTGTGCAGATGGACTGATTTGCTTCTGGAGTGCTGTGTCTAAAAACATTCACTGCCTATTTCTTGGGAATATGTGACTTAAACAGTTATTGTCCTTCTCATAGGTGCTTCTATTGTTGGAGTTAACTGCCATTTTGACCCAGATACTGCACTGGAAACTGTGAAACTGATGAAAGAGGGCTTGCAAGCTGCTAAGCTGAAAGCTCACCTGATGTCTCAACCACTTGCTTTCCATACACCTGACTGTGGGAAGCAGGGGTTTATTGATCTTCCTGAATTTCCCTTTGGTAAGACATGCTTTTTGTTACATACTTCCTTCTTTCCTGTTTTTTATCAAAACCAAAGCTGTAAGATGTCCTTTTAAACAATAGGATGAGTCCCCACTATCCTGTCTGGCATTCTGCATAGAGGGTTTGCAGTGTAATATCAGATTAAAGTTCATCCGCATAGCAGGAGATTTCAGTAGTACTACAGCCTGTTACTGAAAATGAAATTTTGATGGAAATTGTTAAAACGCTATGACCTGAACTCAATTAAATGTATAGTTCTTCCTCATGCTGAAGAACCTTGTTCAAGACCACCGTGGAACAGTAAAGAAATAAGTAAGTACAAATAGACTTAAAAAAACACAGAGTTTAAAATACCTTTGGACTGGAACTCACCAATATTTCGGGTTTTGAACGCAGTAATCAAGGTGCAGCCTCACTAGTGCTGAGTACAGAGGAATGATCATTTCCCTGCTCCCTGCTGCTTTTTTTCTCATAGAAGGCAGAATGCTGTTGACCTTCTTGGCCACCTGGGCACATTGCTGGCTCATGTTCAGCCAAGCGTTGACCACTACCCCCAGGTCTGTTTCCTTTACACAGTAATCCAGCCATTCTGTCGCAAGCCTGTAGCTATGAGTGGGATCGCTGTGACCAAAGTGCAGCACTTGGTCTTGCTGAACCTCATTCCATCAGCCTCAGCCCATTTATCTAACCTGTCCGGATCCTTCTATAGGGCCTTCATACTTCTAGGCAGATCGACCCTTCCTGCCTACTTGGTGTTATCTGCAAACTCATCCAGGTCATCATTAAATATATTGGATAAAGATACAGGACAGGCTCTGATACCAACCCCTGGGGAACACCGTTCATGACTGGTTGCCAGCTGGATTTAACTCCATTCACCACCAGTGTTCAGTCTCTTAAGTGTCACAGTCTTATGTAAGATTAGAGGGAAACCAGAAGTATTATGTTCTTTGATGTTGCTAACAAATGGATAAGCAATTTGGAGACGTTTCATCACTTGTGCTCAGGAGAAATTAATTTCATGAAATCTGAAAGACTCAGCCACTTTGTATGTACAAGGTTTTTGTATTTTGTGGCTTATTTACACATGGGGTGTAAAAGATCACACTCTCCTAAGATGAGAGGACTAAATCAACCAAAATACTGTTAAATTGATTTGAGAAATGTCTCTGTTTTCAGTTATCATACACTCTTCTTTTCAAGTTCAGTCTATAACATAAGGTAATAAAACAACTGAATTTGTAGGAAGAAAAAATGAAGTAGGTGCAATTTTCAGGAATTTTTTTTTTTTTTTTTTCCTTTTTTTATTTTTTGTAATTGCTTTTTTTAAATAAAGGAAAACTGGAAGCATGAGCACAAGGCATTCATTAGGCAATAAAAGCATGATGGTGTTCTGAAAATATTCGGGAATACTGAAGTGCCAGGAACTCATTTTTGCTATTCATTCCTTCGTACGGCTTCTCTGATTGCAAGCAAAAAGATAAAACAGACCCAGAAAATAGTCAAGTTATTAGAAGGATTCACTGCTCGATTTCTTGTGGTTCTTGGCTTGAACGTGGCATGGAGTCCACGTGAGACCTTAGTTTTCAGAAATACCATGACTCGATTGCAGAAGCTTCGTGCCATGAGTATCTTTCAGTCCAGAAGGAGAAACTGATCACTTGATGGCAGATAAGCAGTTTGGTTACTAAAATGACTTAGTTAACTTTTTAATGTGAAAGTGTGCAGAAGAGGCACTTAGATATTTGAAATGTATAAGGCCAACAAAACCTCATACTGGCAAACTCCAGCAACAGCTGTCAAAAATGTTTATCAACCATTAAAACTTTTTCCAGTTTTGTGTCTGCCCTTCTATGTAATCACCAGTAAGGCAAGGACAGTGTTTTAGAAAGAAGCGTGCTGGTCAGTCAAAGCATTCTCAATTGTTTCAAGAGTGAATGCATGGAAGGGCTAAATCTAGGAGCCAATTACAATCTTATCAATGAAAGCATCAATCTTTTTGTACTATAAATGACCAAATAGTTAAGCTATAGGTAATTAATCTGAGTAAAGATAAGAAAATAAGTGCTGTAGAAAGTCATGCATTGGAAATAGAATATTAGATAACTTTGGAGAGGAGAAATAAGAAAAGACAGCAACAACAACAAAAAGAAATCAAAGGAAACGCATGATTTAAGTGGCAACATTTCATTGAATGCTTCTTTTTTTAATCATCGTGTTTCCCCATGTGTGGCCAGTTGACACAGTGAGATCAATGCTTGTTTCTTTAGAGAGGTATGGCTGGTGCATAAGGACTGGTTGTGATGAGTAGATGATCAAGAAATCAAGACAACACCCTCTACCATTCCCCAGAAGTTCAGTTGTTTATACATGCATCAGTTGAGTGAAAGATACTGCATTCTTAAATTCATCACTTCGTATTGATTTTTGCATTTGCTTTTGAGTAATGTATGAGAGATGAGGAAATTGTGAAGTGGTTCTTCTGATGCTTTCTCTTACATCTACAGGATTGTACATCAACTTACTATATTTGAACAGCATTTTAAGATAGCGTTGTTTTTCCCTCTGAGATGAGCCACTTTATTTTCTTTTGACCAGTTTCATTGTGACCAATAATTTTCTTTTGAGGAACATTTCTGCTTTTTGTTTAAGCCTGTCTCTTTAGCAACTCATTAGACTGTAAGTTCTCCTCATGCTTGTTAATCTTCTACAGAGGTGCATAAAGGAGCAGGAGGACGTTCTGTATTACAATTTCTCCAAATTTCTTTTGCAGTCCTTCGTTCTTTCTTTCTAGTTTTCCACTTCTTGTGCCTCCTTCCTACCTTGTGCTTTTTCTTGTTCTTCACATTTTCTATTGCTTTTCTTCCACAAGTGTTTCCTCAACTTTGTTGTCCATCCAGTCAGCTCATTATGATCTACGGTAGGAAGAATGACTCAGCACAACCAAGGGAACACCCTTCTTTTGAGCATTCTGCACTCAGAACTTTCCAGAAGGAAGGAAGGGACATGAAGCAGTGGATGGGAATATAACTAAGTAAGGGATGGGCTAGCAAACAGCTGGCTGCCAATAGCTAGTCATGGAAAAAAGTTCAGTAAGTGCTCTTGATTAATAAAGAGCAGGCGTATTGCAGTTGCAGGAAAGCCAGCATCATCTCCTTTACAGATTAGAATAAGATTTCCCAGCTATTTGCTGCACATTGTGAGTGTAACATGGAAAACAGTCCAGTATTCCAGCAAAGAACTCTAGCAGAATGGCAAGTGTGTGGCTGAGGGCTTGATCACTCTCATTGGATATTGGTTGCTGTTTTGCTAGGTGAAAGAAGCTTAAGACAAGCATAGTTCAGAAGCACATAGTAGAATCTAAAAGCTAGCTTTAGGAAACTTTGTCTCATTAATTCTAGCTTAGACAGCTGAAATATCTGTATTTACCATCAGTTTTCCAAACAGCGTGCAAGTTTCAATAAGTTTTTTTCTCACTAAAAATCTGCTGAAGTGGAGTGCTGTGGAAGACCAAGGTATGAATGTCTTTGCAGGTTTGGAACCAAGAATCATCACTAGATGGGATGTTCAAAAATATGCAAGAAAGGCTTATGACTTAGGAATCCGCTATATTGGAGGCTGCTGTGGATTTGAGCCATACCACATCCGAGCAATAGCTGAAGAGCTGGCTCCTGAAAGAGGATTTTTGCCAGAAGCTTCTGAGAAACATGGTAGCTGGGGCAATAGCCTGAGCATGCATACTAAACCCTGGGTCAGAGCAAGGTATGTATATCTGAACTGGAAGGCACAACAAAGCAATCCTTGCAAAGGCTTATATTGGTCCATAAAGCAGACAGAATTCAGAGATCTTAAGTTTTCTACATGTTAATAATTTTGAGGAATTAAATCTGATCTGGGAGCAGTGAAAGAGATGCAGAGGCAGTAGGAGAGCTGCAAAAGTTGATAAAAAATTAATGTGAAAGTAATTCATGAAAGTTAAAATGGGCACCTGACAGACAACTGACAGCTTACTGTGCTCTTTTTGAGGATGTAAAGATTCTTTTGAAAAGTGCAGCATTTCTTTGTATAGTTCTGTTCATCTTTCTGTATCTAAACATAAAGTCTGATTTTGCAAGTCAGAGGATCCTTTGTAATGGCCGCAATATCTTCAGTATTGTGAAGTGCTGAAACAAACGCTGTATTTGCTTTTCTTTGTTTTAGAGCAAGAAAAGAATACTGGGAGAACCTGAAGCCTGCTTCAGGCAGGCCATATTGTCCTTCAATGTCAAAGCCAGATGGCTGGGGAGTGACCAAAGGAGCCAGGGAGCTGATGCAGCAGAAAGAAGCAACAACTGAACAGCAGCTGAAGGAGCTTTTCCAGAAACAGAAATTCTAATCAGCTGCAATTGTCTGAATGTTAGGATGTTAGAACATCTCATCCTTTGAGAGAAAACTTGTGAAGATTAATGCCCTATTAATTTGTTCAATTAACGTGTAATGAAAGAGGCAAAGAAAATGTGATTACAAATGAAATATGAGAAGCATTGATAATAAAATCTTTCCCAAATAGTTTGGGAAGAGGTTTGGATTCTTATAATTGATCTTCTGTTAGTTAGCTAGATGCCATTTACTAGGTAGACACAGATCACATGGAAGTAGTATAAGTAATACTAGGCTCAACTGACCTGTGCATAGACCAGAAAACATCTATAAACACTATGTTAGTACTCTTGAGTCTGTTAATACTCTTGAGTCTGCTTTAGTTTAGAAATCTGTGAGAGCAGCTCAGACCTCAGGACTTGTTGAGGGCCAGCTTCAGGCATGAACAATCTGCCAGTGCTTCAGGCTCAGTTAATTATAGTAAATTCATGTACTTCAAGAGCGTAGAAGTAAACTGGAAATTCCAGTGTGACACCAGTCACATACACCCGATTTGCTGCTTGGAAGATTGAGAAGCTTAAGAGATTATTGTGATAGATAGAAAATACTGAATAAATTAAAAATATCACGGAATTGTATTGTATTATCTTGACACTTCAAATCATATGAGCTCTGAGTAGCGTACCTCAAGTAAACTACTGTAATTTTCCAAATGATCCAACTGATTTCTATATATTCCACTTGAAAAAAAGTGCTTATCTCAGACAAGATCTTAAAAACTGAAGCTTCCTAAATATAACTCATGTATATATGAATAGTAAAATATTCCATGATTAATCCACCTAGTTAAAAAAAAAAAATCAAGGAAATTTGAACACTGGAGGGTTTCCTTAGGAAAGGTATTGTTATACTTGGAAAACATTACACATGATGGACAGGCTTCCACAGCTTATTTTTGTGAAATACTATGCCATTTAGATTTCTATCTTGAATCTCATTCCCACCCATTCTGCATTGAAGTCAACACCTCTGCAAAGATATGCTTGAAGTTGCAGTTTTGAAAGCCTTAGTTGGACTGTTTATTATGTATCAGCTTTTTTCATTATTTCTATGTCCATGCTGTTATTCTCAGTTCAGGAAATATTTGAGCACTTAAATGGGAAAGTTGAGGTATAACTTGAAGGCATTCAAGGCCAGGCTGGATGTGGCTCTGGGCAGCCTTGTCTAGTGGTTGGAGACCCTGCTCACAGTAAGGGAATTGAAACTAGATGATCATGACAGTGCTTTTCAACCCAGGCCATTCACTGATTCTGTGGTACACTCTTCAGTCTGTTACCAGCATAGAGATTTTTGAGAAAGCCACCTTCCTTCACCATGCCTTCAACAGACTAAAATAATTTCTAGTTAGAAATTATGCCTGAGTGCCAAAAGCACACAAATTAAAAAAAAAAAAAAAGAGTATCTTTAAAGGTAGATTATTTGAAAAGCATCTGTTTAGATATAAACACATTACATTAAACTTCCTTTCTTCCTAAATCCTTCTCGCAGTTCCTCCTGCAAAAAGCAGAATAACACAAAATCTGTGAAATAATCCACTCTGGTTATTACCAAAATGTTTTCAGTGTTAAAGATGTATTCATGTGAAGTGAATTAAAATACAGTTGCTAAAAAAGTGCTTTGAGCAATCATTACCAGCTTAGGGACTCCTGGACTGATTTTTTAAAAACTGTCCCAACATGCAAAAATTCCTACTGAAGTTAAGAAAGTTAAGAAAGCCAGCTTAAAAAGAACAAAATTTAACAGTGAAGAGAAGCACTGAGGAGATTTAAAACCACCCAAAATGAAATTGTGCCCAAGGGGGAAGATGCACAATCCTTGTTTGATTGTTGCTCAGCCAGTGAGATGAAAATTAATTGAGAGGGTGATTTACTGATCACTTCAGAGTCCCAAACTCTTCAGGAAAACAAAACAAAACAAAAAAAATCAGCCAACAAGATAGCATAAATAAAATCAGCCAACAAAGTCTTAATTCCCACCTCTTTCTCATGGTCTATTAAGTGACTTGTTAAGGCAACAAGGCACAGACTGACAGCACAAATCTAGGAAATTTGTTTCCTCAGAAAGTCTATTTGAAAATTTAGATAACTGAAAGTGAAGGGGTCTTTCGAAGGTCTTGGCCTCTAGTTAGTACCCTGAGGCAGGATCAGTTCTTCATGGGAGACATTTTTTTACACTGATTGTAAACACACGTAATGATGGAGATTCTACGCCATACCCACCAATCCTCTTACTTCCTTTATCTTAACAAACTGTTCTTAATTTGAATACTCCTTGATGTAATTTGAATGTATTTTGGTGGAGTTTGAATCCATTATTTCCAGCTCATTACATACAGAAATAATTTATTCCATTTGTCTTTGCTGATGCCTTTTATACATTTGAACATTAACATGCATTCCCTGTTTCTTTTCCCTGACTGAACAGACTCTTTGTTCACTCCTTCTTTGTGGCCTCAGTGAATTATTCATCATTAAATCTAGAGATCACCTCCATCCAGTCTTTTCCCACAGCATAGAATCATAGAATCTGAGAAACTAGAGTGGCTTGAGTTGGAAGGGACCTTAAAAATCACCCAGTTCCAACTCAACTGCTCTGGGCAGCCTGTGCCAGATCCTCATCACCCTTAGAGTAAAGAATTTCTTCATAACATCTAACCTAAGTCTTCCCCCTTTTAGTTTAGATAACGTCCCTCTCCCTGCTGGTCATTCTTCTTCTGCTGGAACCCCCCTTTTGATACAGCCCAGGATACTGTTGGCTCATGTTTTTTGTCTACCACAACCCCGAAATCCTTCTCAGCAGGACTGCTCTCAATGAGTTCTCCCGGTCTGTTCACATACCTGGAATTGCCCTGACCCAAATGCAATACCTTGCACTTGGCCTTGTTGTACCTCATCAGATTCATGTGGGCCAACCTTTCAGTTTTGCCCAGGGATGCCCCTAGATGTCATCCCTTTCTTCTTTTATATCAGTTGCACCACTCAGTTTGATGTCATCAGAAAAGTTGCTGAGGTTGCACTCAATCCCATCTAAGTCATTTATACCAATGTTAAAAAGCATTGGTCCCAAGATGGACCCCTGGAGGGGGGTCTTGACTGGTCTCCACTTGAACATAGGGTCGTTGACCACAATGCTCTGGCTGTGGCCTTCCAACCAATTATTTATCCACCAAATAGTCCACCCTGTGAACTTCTATCTCTCAAATGCAGAGATAAGGATGTGGTGCAGGACCATGTCAGAGCCCTTGCACAAGTCCTGGTAGATAACATCAGTTGCCATTCCTTTGACCATTGATTTTGTCACGCCACTGTAGAAGGCCACTAGGCTAGTCAGGCCCTTAGTGAAGCTATTCTGGCTATCTTGGATCACATCCTCATCTCACAATGCCTTAGCTTGTGTTCTGGGAGGATCTGTACCGCAGTCTTCCCAGGCACAGAGGTGAGTCCTTGTTCTAAGTTAATTTTACCTTGAAGCAGAAGTGAAGTGATCTGAACCTTAGTAGTTTGAGTCCCGAAAAGAAAATCAAAAGTCTTCACTATCTAAAGAATAAGCCTCTATTCATTAGACTGAACACAGGCCCAAGAGGGATCTGAACAAACAATAATGTTTGGATGGGAAAAAAAAAAAAAAAAAAAAGCAAGTCTGTGTAACAAAACTTGAGCCAACCAGGGTAGAGAGCAGTAGCTAAGAAATGAATTTCAAAGCAGATCTGAAAAATGTACGAGGGCTGCTCTGAAAATGGTGCCTCTTGTTTTATGATGTTGGCCCACAACATCAGTGGTGGGTGCTGGTGGTATGGCAGTAGAGGCTGAACCTTCCCACCTGTATCTCATTTTGTTGCTGTATGGCAGATGGCAGCAGAGAGGCAGTCTGACAAAATAGCACCTGTCATGGAAATTAGTATGAAACAAACGTGCGTCACTGAGTTCCTGTATGCGAAAAAAAATGGCACCCACTGACTTTCATTAATGTTTGCTGAACTTCTATGTGGATGTGAGCACAGTGAGGCAGTGAAAAAACAATCCAGGCAGCCGTGCACAGGTGTCATACAACTACACAACAAAATAAAGAGCATCTGGATCAGCTCATCTGTGCAAACTGACTAGTGGTGTGACTCTAATGACAAATAGTGTTTTGTATGTGAGAATTTGCTGTATCAAACGGTGTCATTGTGCTTTATGTTTCTGTTGTTTCTATGGAAATAAATAGAAGGCATTACTTTTGGAACAACTTATGTATATTTGGAGTAGGAGGGAGAAGCATGATTCCATCTCATGACTAACAGCAAATACACACTGCACAGAAGATGCTTTACAAGCATTATCAGTTATCAATGAGTGTTTCAGGAATGTTTTGCAGCTTTAATTTGCAAACGTTTTTATGTAATCATTTCAATGCAATGGAAGAAAGAGACGAATTGGCAACTGAAACAAAAGAGGAGAATGGTGAGACATGAATAAACACTGCTTTGCAGTTTATCTGCTTGCAGGTCAAGACATCAGACTTACTCAGCCCAGTAGGCTAGTCATTGCCTTTCAGCAGCTCATGCATCAAGCCTTATAGCTATTATTAAGCAAAATGTTCCCATTTTTTATTTTCAGTCAAACAAAGAAAGGCAGAGCAGTTCCACACAAGAAAAATCAAGAATAAAAACTGTACTATTCTCTGGGTCAAGCAACAGTGCTTTTCTTTCACACTGGGAATGAAGACTTTACCTACAAAAGAGGCACCATGAAGGGCATAAGGAAGAACATTCATACTTCCTTACTTGCCAGTTTATCTCAACCGTCTAAATCCCATGTATCTAGTCCATGGTTCTCTATCTTGTCTTGGGAGTCAGTCCCATAGGCTGATTCCTCGCAGCTCTACCAGCTCACAGCTGTACCAGTTCTGCTTCCAAGACTTCATGGTCCCATTTAGCTGTATGAACCCTAATGTGTTGGAACATCAGGCTGTGAGAACTGGCTAGTTTGCTGCTATTTATTTTGAATGTCTTGCAGTTTTGGGACATTTTTAAAGATCTGACCTATGCTGTTGCTGTAAAAATGTTAACTGCAAGCAGTAAAAGGCTACATGCAGCCTAATCTGAAGTTATATCCCTGATAAACAAAAGCTAAACCCATATGCATTTGCTGATGCATATCATGAAAGTTGCTGAATCTCCAGAGTTGCTGCAAAAGACTAAAAGTATAGACTGTGATACAGTATTTTAATTTCATGAAACTGGATATAATTATTGTCATCCAGATTATTAAATTTACCAGTGTCTTTCCTTGCTCAGTGATTGTTACAGTAGTAAAATGTAATAATTTTCACCAAAAAAAGTTTAATGTTTCCATATTCTGAGTACTGTATAGTTGCACAGTGTAAGAAAAAGTTTGGGGTTGGCCTGCTGAAAGATACTACATTTTCCTTCAAACCTTTCTGTAAAAAAGCATTTCTTAGTAGTGTCACAGTACTACAACATTATGTAAAATTGAATACATGTCCTATAAAGACAAAGGATTTCTGGAAACCTTGTTTCTTATCCTGTTTTTTGTTGTTGTTGTTTGTTTTTGTTTTATTTTGTTTTGTTT